CTTTAGGATGTTTTAATGGCTGAATTTTAGTTAGTAGAAAAGGGAATGACTTAGTGGGTCTACTTAATTGAAAAAATAAAGCTTATAAATTAGAATGCTTAAGCTGATTATATAAATTTTTTATGGGTATAGTTACTATATGCTTTGCTGAACTCATTTCGTAAATTTCTCTGTTTAGGAACTTAAGCATTTTGATTTAGTTTATAGTTTTTATTCACATCACCCAAATGATATTATTAAACTACGAAATTTTGAGTTTTGAACTTCTTACGACAGGTTTTATAAAATTATGAAATCATGGAAGATTGTGTCTTAGTATGCTCGTGGGATTCTTGAACTACTCTTAAATCTGAGATTTTGATTTCAAATTTTAGTCTCTATTGCTTTTCTAACATTGACTCCACAATCCCCTCCCACCCTCAAACTAAATAATATTAAAAAGAAGTCCTCTTTCCCACATTTCCATGTATGTTACCCTTTCGATTATTTGACTGAATCTTTTCTGCCCAAATTTACAAATGCTACCATTAGCATGTGTGCAGAACTGATGCAAAGGTATATTTCCTGATTATGAGTCAATTTCTTAATTCCAATTTTCTTTTGTGACCTTACTGTGGTAGAAGATCTAGGAACCCATTGTCTCCATTGATCATATGTATAATTAAATCATTTTATTAATGTCAAATCATGTATAATTATTGTAGTGATCAATCCCTTTTAAGACAATGGGAGGATTATGGGGAATCTACAATAGTCATTACATGCAAAAATCAACAAGAAATGTAAGAAAGTGATTTAATTGGGAATGATTATATTCTCACTATACATGCCAACATTTATTTCTTATGTTTAAAATATGCCTTTTTGTTTTTCTTAATTGTTTAAGTATACTTTCATTTTCTTATTAGGAATAAGTTAAGGGAAGCGGCTGAGAATATTGGCCTCATGAAATGCTTTTCCTTTAATGGTCATGATACCTTTTTTTGCTGATGACTTTATCTTTCTCTCTCTCCCTCTCTACTTTTTAATTTGTTAAAGAGAATGTGGCTATGATGAGTGTCTTTATTTCTCCTTTGTTTTAGACTTTTTGCAATTTTAAGATTATCTTGCTATTCCCAACTATTTTCGCATCTGTTTAGCAAACAATATGGTTATTCTTTGGGGACTTTGTCAAAGGCATGTATCATACTATTGTACTTGGTTCATCCATTGTTTATGCTATTATTGTGATAATATAGGTAATTTGATCAATAACATTGACCGTTTATTTTGTATTTTTATTATGTAGATCACAATTATCCCTTTTTTTTATTCAACTTTTGTGATTGAGGCCTAACATAGTTTTAACAAAATTTGTATTCTTAATCATTGAATGTCTTCCCTCTACTATTTTGTTTCCTATTTCATCTTTGTTTTAGAGTTTTTGCAATTTTAAGATTTTCTTGCTATTCCTAACTATTTTGTTATCTGTAGGAATGTCAATGGGCATCCTATTATAAGATACCCATAAGTACTCAATTCAGTTATATTGAGTTAGAGAACCTTATAACTAGGTTTGGAATGAGTTCGGGTAATGATTTCACTACCTTTATCGAGTTCAGGTATCACCCATTAGGTACTCGTTACTCGCATCCTGATTATGTTAATATTCAGGTTCTGTGAATACCCGCTCCAAACCTAATTTCAATACCAATTTATATATATTTTATTGATATTTAAATAATTAAATTAAAAAGTCCATTTTTGCTGGTGTTTAGATTTGAACCCATGTAAAGATAAAAAACAATTAAAACCTTCACTATCTTTACAAATAATTTCTTTTATTAAATGTTGACAAATATATTAAAATGTATGATTACTTAAATTATTAATGTGATGATATTAGTATATTTAAATTAAAAAATATTAGATTATTAATGATGTTTAAATAATATGAATATCTTATCTATTACAAAGGAATATAATTACTATTACATATATATATACTTTTAATATAAATATATTTACTTTTAATTTTGTGTTAATATTACAAAAAATTTAACTTATAATATATATACTTAAAGAGAGTTTTTGATATTAGAATAGTTTTCGAATATAACTATTTTTTTAATCTCATATAATTAAAGACAAACTCATATTGTTAATTAAATTAATTTATAAAACTATGATTATTAATTAACTTGAAATGTTTTTTAATATATATACATTATATATATTGGGTTCATTTATAAGAAATATAACTACTGTATTATATATATACTTTAAATATAAATATATTTATTTTTATTTTATATTAACATTACAAAAATTTTAATTTATAAAATTATTATTTAAAATATATACACCTTTGTTTATATAAACTTATAATATATAAACCTTAAGAGAAGTTGTGATATTAGAATAGTTTTAAAACCTAGTTATTTTTTTTAATTTGATGTAATTAAAGATAAATTTATATACTTAATTAAATTAATTCATGAAATTATGATTATTAATTACCTTGTAATGCCTTTTAATATATTTACTTTATATATTTTGGGCTTATTTATAAAGAATATATTTACTATTATATATATACTAAAATACTTTTAGTGTGTGTGTGTATATGTCCACTTTAAATATAAACATATATACTTTTTATTTTGTATTAATATTACAAAAATTATAACTTAAAAAATTATTAATTATAATATATATACTTTTGTTTATATAAACTTATAATATATAAACTTAATTATTTAAAAAGAAGTTATAAGATTAGAATAATTTTGAAACTTAACTATTTTTTTAATTTCATGTAATTAAAGAAAAATTCATATAATTAATTAAATTAATTCATGAAACTATGATTACTAATTACCTTGTAATGTCTTTTAATATATTTACTTTATATATATTAAGTTCATTTATAAAGAATATACTTACTACTATATATATACTAAAATACTTTTAGTTTTAGTGTGTGTGTGTGTGTGTGTGTATACTTTAAAACATATTTACTTTCTATTTTATATTAACATTACAAAAATTATAACTTAAAAAATATTAATTATAATGTATATATCTTTGTTTATATAAACTTAATTATCTCAAAAGAAGTTATGAAATTAGAATAGTTTTAAAACTTAGCTATTTTTTTAATTTCATGTAATTAAGGACATACCCGTATAATTAATTAGATTAATTCATGAAACTATGATTATTAATTACCTTGTAATGTCTTTTAATATATTTACTTTATATATATTAGGTGCATTTATAAGAAATATAATTGTTATTATATATATACACTAAAATACTTTTAATATATATAGACTTCAAATATAAATATATTTACTTTTTATTTCGTGTTAAAATAATTGTACAATATTATTATATAGTTAGACTAAATAAAAAAATATAATTATCTTAACGGGTTAGTATCTGTTCATATTATGGTTGCTGTCTGTTCATATTATGATCGCTTTACCTTATGGTATGAAAAGTCATTTTTTTCAAAGGTCGAGTTTATTATTTATTTGTTTATTTCATATTATTTTTTGATCAAAATACTCATAAAGTCTCTGTACCCATATGTTTTGTTCAATTTAGACCATGTACTCAAAATCTTTTTAAATATTTATATTTTTTAAATATTTTTTTCAATTTAGACCCTCAATATCTCAATTTTGTTCAATTTAGTCCATGTACTATATATTTTTGTTCAATTTAATCTATATGACTTGATACAAAGAAAAAAATTTAGAAATTTTTTTTATCTGCCATATGGCATTGACTTGCCCATGTCAACATTGCCACATCAGCATATTAAGGCCATGTGACATTGCTATGTCATCGTATAAGTGCCATGTGTGATACCTAACATCTCACTTCTGATGTGAATGTGATTATTAAGACATATATAACAATCTAAGTTTACTACTATTAGCAACTTGAGCTTAAGTTTTTAATGGCCATATGGTTTAGGCTTAATAAGTTACTGGACCAGTGGTTGGACTTGGATCGTTACAAATAGTATCAAAGCCTGCGTTAGTCCGATGTGAGCTTTTACGTTGCTCTAGTGAGATATTGTTCTTATGGATGTAATATTAAGGATTTGAGTGGGTGGGATTGTGATACTCAACAACTCACATCTGATGTGAATGTGATTGTTAAAACTTATATAACAATCCAAGTCTACTACTACTAGTAACTTGAGTTTAAACTTTTGAGGGTCATGTGGTTTAGACCCAAAACGTTGCTTAGCGAATAGTTGGACTTGAGTTGTTACACTATGTCGTCAAAATAAGCCATGTCATCAAAATATACCACATCATCCTTTTAATGACAAAATTAGATATCCTTAGTGAAAAAAACTAAATTGAAGCAATTTTCAAAATCAAAGACTAAATTGCTTCGATTTTGAATATAAAGACTAAATTAAATAAAACGCATGAGTACAAAGACTTGGTGTGTATTTTTTTCATAAGCTTTTAGTATTTTATTACAAAATTATGAAATTAATTAATTATAAATTATAAATACCATTGAAAGATTTAATTAGTCTTAAAATCATTTAAAAATTAATATCAAAATAAAATTTAATTGATTGAATTATAATTCAGTTTAATTAATATCTTGAAAAAGCAACTAGCATTAGAATTCCATTAATCAAATTAATATTGATTCAAATTTACTTTGGATGTTAAAAATGCCCTGGTTTTTTATTTTTTCCCTTTTTCAGCATTTTTCTATTTTAATCAATTTCCTTATCAATAGATTTTTTTCTTCAAATTAATGATAATCAATTTATTTAAAACTAAAGATAATTTAATTTAATATATTTAAAACTAAAGACAATTTAATATATTTATCCCAAAGTTAATATATAATTGAATTAAAAATAAATTTAAAATATTTAATACATAATTGAATTAAAATATTATTTCGATATCACAAAATAAAAAAATAAAAATTCATAAATATAGGGAAAAAAAAAAACCCCGCATCGAAACGCGGAGTTTTGCCTGAATTCGCCATTAGAGGCACCGAAAAGGACCAGAAACCCAAATCCTTCGCTGTATTGTATCTTTCTTGCGTTCGCTCCCTCCATTGTTGTGATAATTTGTTCTCTTTACAGCACTGATTATAGAAAATTTATCTTCTTTGAAAGCAATTGTTTGCAATTTGCCGGCGAAGAATTTGTGTTTTGGTTTTGATTGTTAAGGTTATAAGAAGAGGGAAATGGATGCGCAAGCAAGGAACAAAGCGTTGTTTCGTGCTAAATTGAATGCACAGAAGAAGGACAAGCGCATAGATTCTCCCCTTGTCAGGTAAACTAACCACATCACCCCCATGTAAGCGTATACTTCAGCCATGAGGTGGATGTTTTATTGTTCTGGTGATGCTTTTCTATTTTGGGATTTTCCCCCTAATTTTGAAAGTGTTTTAGACTTGCTTTTCTATGCCTGTTTTCTAAAGAGTTAGTATGAAAAATATCCTTCTGGATGTTGAAGTTCCATGCTGTGGGGAAACTTTTGGCAGGTTTGGATTGGAATTCTTCTTGCTTTTTGGGATGATTGTACTGTTGTTATGGATATGTTGTAAAACGGCATCGTTTTCTTGAGGACGTTGCTTTTGGAAGATGTTATTTCCTCTAGAGATGGTCACTTTTTGTGTTTGGAGGAGAGGAAAGCATGTGCTTGTCGTTGTCTACATTCTTAAGTATACAATCAGGATGCGTGAAAATGGATGCGCACTTGTGCTTCTTGTCAATTGATTTCTTTAAGGCTGTCCCATTTGCTATTTTCTGTTTCACTTTGCATCGTCCAAGGGTGATCGTTGTATTATGCCTAAGTTAGTCGTGACTTATATGCTGACCGGATTTTCTCTTTCTTTTCTTTTGCACATACAGGTACAATGAATTGGATCAACCTGTCTGCAAGATTTGTGATGTCGTTCTGAAGTCTGAGTCCCATTGGGACGCACACCAAGCTTCTCGTAAACATCATGAGGTAATGTTTTGTTTTCCCTGTGAATGACAATTAGAACCCTGACACAACTCTCTGCCACAAGTAGGTTCAAAATGTTGCTATGATGTTAATGTATTTAATAAGTGCAGTTGCTCATTCATTATCGTACGTGTATGTAGCTCTGATTTCTAAGAACTTATCTCTAAATGACTTGCATAATACTTGTTGCACAAAAATTGGTACAGATATTCATGCTATTTTCACATCTTTACACTTCCATGCATGGATTAATTTCGTCAGAGCAATGCAAAATGTTTAGTTCTAGATTTTCCTATCAGTTGAGGCATTTCACTAGCTTTACCAGATACATGGGGATGAAGAGTGATCAGGTTTCAGTCTTAGGTATCTTGTAATAAGCTCCATTGGTTTGAAGAGACTGTTACTATCTACCTATAAAGAACCTTGTGAATCTTGATTTCAAGTAATCCAGATTTATACCTTGAGGTTATCATTACCCAACATTTGGAAAATGCGTTATCATTTTTAAGTTGAGCATTATCTTTTGGTTGGTAGGAGGTCATGTTAGGTTGGGGTGGTCTTTGAGTAACTGCATAGGCAAATGACTGAATTCTGCTAAACACTTTGCTGCATTTGGTATGGATAAGGAAGCATAGTTAAATATGCATGTGTGAGAACTCATCAGGCATGGCTCTTATGCTGGATGTCTGATGATATTGGGTGCCTTTGAGAACAGTCTTTAGGTCATTTATTAGGTATTGGAGACAGTTGATTGGTATGATGGTTTTGTCGTGTGTAGAGAATGCTACAAAATAACAAATATGTGTTTCCTGTTCTTCTTACTTTGAAATAAATATGCTAGGTCCTTTTCTTATAATCTTTACAGTTTAAGGAATTACTTTTTGTCAGATTAGTTGTGATTTGATTATTCTATTGCCAAAATATTGGTGTCATTTTGCAAGGTTGAAGAGGAAGAGTTTGAGTATATTTAAACTAGAACTTGCACTGTTCATTTGCTTCCTTAATCTTAGGGCATACATTCTTCTGAGGATTGTTTATGGACCATAATCTGAAGGGCTTTTGGAAATGTGCTTTTGACAGTTGTCTACTCCTCTAAATTGTTTAGTCCCACTTTGAATGATTTATCGATTTGACCAGATCAAGTCTTTGGGTTAATATATCCCAGCATTATCTCTTTTCTTGAAACAGAGATGGGTGGATTTCAAGTCAATATCTGATCTTCTACAGCATTTTTTCATTTGTTTATCTATTTTTTTCAATGTTTAGTGAGGTCATTTAGCTTCAAATATTGTGATTGTGTTCCTTACTTTGTAGCAATGATATATATTAGCAGTCTTCCCGCTAAATGTCAAAACTTTTCTTGCAATGATTGTTATGAGTTATCTTGAAATATTCTTGGATTAATTCATAATTTGGGGCAAAATCACAACTACCTCCAGCTTTGAAACTTCCTATAATGGGAGATGTAGAATAGGAGTAGAAGTAAGACTTGAATCCTTGGCATCATGCTTAATTTTTTTCCAAGTATTTTACGATTAGGATCTGCAGTTTCACTTTCCTCATTGATTATATGGTCCATTATTTATTTGTTTCACATTGATCACATGTTCCATGATTTGTTTGCTGCCATACTTTTCCTTTTATCTTCTCTCATTCATATTTGAGAATTTACTAATGAGAGGCTTTATGTTGGGACAGGCAATTAACAACTTAAAAGCTAATGCAGCTAAGCGTACTCAGGCTAGCAATACACAATCTGGGCTGCCTCTGGGTTTTTTTGATAATAATGGGACAGGGAAGCAAAAAACTGGTAAGAATTTTGGGATATGGCTGTATTTTTGTTGGCTGCATAGATTGGTTCTCTAACAAAAATGTTGTTCATAGCTGCTTTACTTTTGATACTAGTGTCAAAATTTATTTTATCTTAGTATCTGTAGAAGAGGTATAAATGCATGAGAATAAGTGAAGCAGGAGTTTTTTTGTGGATGCTTTTATCAGTATAAACAGTAGTAGTGTTTTAGTTCATATATTGTTTGAAAGGTTTTTTGTTTGCTAAATAATGGGGGGAATTTATCACTTATCTGAACTGTGTGCTTTGCAAATTGATATCACTCATTTTCTCTGTATTATCAATGATACAAAGGATCCATTTAGTGGTCATATCCTCATTCTCATCTTTGCCTTTTGAGTTGGATATGTGTTGACACAGAAGAGTTGAATCTACATTGGATTTATTCCACATTCCCATTTATGTAGTCTCTAAATTTATTATCCAAGCATCCTTTTCTTTTTCATTTTTTGGTAGTTGCTGATAGCTAGGGCTTTCTCTATCTTCTGATCGTAGTTGCATTTCATGGTCTCTTTTTTATAATATATTTCATGGTTTCTTAAGACATGCCTTCACCAATTAAATGCTAAAATATAAGCAAGTAGCCATATTTCTTATAAGTTTCAAAATTTATTAAATTATTACTGCATCAAGTTCATTTATCTTTTTTGTTTTGTCAGACTTTATTTTGCTAGCTGAGACAATAAAAGGACATTTTATAGGGGATAAAAGAAGTGCTTTTGGTCTAACATATCTAAGACCTAGAATATGAGTGGTATATCTGTTCTATATGTGAAATTATAGGAATTGTTAATTCTTTTGTAGCATCAGACATGCATCCAACTGTATGATAGGTGTCTTACCATCCAATAAGAAAAGGTCTAGGGGTATCTTTATTTCATAGGTTTAGATATGTAGAGGATTTAAGTTGTGTAAGTGGTAAATAGTGCAAAACGTTATATTTTTCAGTCAGTTTTACATGTGTACAAGTGTCTGCAATATGAAATAGCTGAGTGGTGGTATCCATGATTCAAAGGTTTGGATTTGAAGTATGAAGCAGCTATGATTCTGATTTCAGATAAAGGCTAATTACACCAAATTAAACCTTCTTTGAACAAAAAGGCTCCTATAAAGGTTTAAAGGTTTCTTAGAATAGGTATTGTTGCTAAGCGGACATGCCTCAGAAATTTAGGCTTGGGTTTTGCCTTTTATTTCTTCTGATATATTCAGAAGCTTGTGTTTATATAT